AGCAACCCAGCAACCCAGTTCTTAATCGTTTGAGCTGTTGGACACTTTGTAAAATTGTGTAAATTGTGGTATTCTCGATATTTACGCCGCGCACACAAAAAGCACGATCCGCTCCAGTGAAACACTCCATGGCGACTGAATTCCCAGACACTGAAGATACTGCCCCCACCTCGTCCGCGCCGCTCACGGTCACCCGTTAAATTTTATTCAAATTTGAAATTTCAAAGGACTTATGGACCACCCTGTATTTTACCATTCATTCGAAGTATAATAAAGCAATTTAAATAGCTAAAAAATTAAATTACACCAAGCGTAAAAAAATTATGTTTGAAAAAACAGAAAATGTTGCTGGTGGCGCCCTCTATAAGATAATTTTAAAAAGGTAAATTTTTAGATTTACTATATAAACAATCCTCATATACCAAATTTCGTCAAAAACGAAGAATAAATGCTGAATATATGGCGAAAATTCAAAAAAAGTTTATCATCATGTATCTTGATTGCCTTTGACTTTTGGACTAAGAAAATTTAACTTAATCTCAATATTTCTTTGAAAGGAATCTGCTGTTAAATTATGTACCATTACTTATGGGGCACCCTGTATAATGTACTTAAGCCATTGCCATTGACCAATATGAAGCAGTTTGTTAGAAAAAACAAGTACTCTTATTTCCAAGAACATTTTATATTACTTGGCTATGATAGTGATAATTATATGTTCATATAAAATGCGATGGTGTAGTAGATATCGTACTTGTAACAGGCCCGCCAACCTCTCAATTCATGTTAAAGCGCAGCCAACAAACATGATTATGAAAAACAAAATCGCTTTGGAAAATGTCTCCTAAGAATGCGAGGTTTTCGCCTTCTCTATATTGTTATAAGTAAATGTAGAAATCAAGAAAGTGATAGGGAATTATTTTTTATTGCAGCAACGTACAATTCATTTACAATCAGACGGCTAAATCAAACAATCCTTTCTAAATCTGTTGTTGAGCAACTTTTCAAAGCAGGAAATGGACGGTTTTGCGAACAAGTGTATTTACGGGGCGTGCAACGTTTACAAGAAAACCAATCATCAAATATTTTAGTTCTGGTTACGACATGAAGCTTAACAAGAACCATTCCGTTTCCTTTGCAAATGAAAATTATGATGAGCTGTTAAAAACATATGTTTCCAATTACAGTTGTACATAGTTATGTTTTTATAAGAGAGTCTGTACTTCAGACTAGCGTATAACAGCAATTCAATGAGCAAAATGGCGTCAAGTAGGTTGACTCTGTACTTGCCGGCTATGAAAATCCTTGTACCCTAGCATAAGGTCGTAAAATAGAAGGAAAACCGGTGTTCATTTGACAACAATCGAAATTACGGGGCTTTGAACACGCATATGCATCAATTTATTATTGGTCGGTTATGGAAACCCTTACAGCTAATGATGTAATATAATGAAAATATGATTGGAGATTAAGTAAGAATTTTTTTAAATAATTGAGGACAACTTTCGGACGCCCTGGTATTATTTACATGAGAAAAACATACTAAAAATATATGAGATCCTTCATTCCACAAAATATCTTCATATTCGCCGAAGACGTAAACGTATATTCGTTATTTCACATATGAATAACTACAACCCTAATATTCTCACCCTGTCTGATTATTTGGTAGTCGCAATTATTACATCCCCGAGGCATCGTTGGTAAAAATTTGTTGCGTGGGCGTTCACCCGAGAGCGAGCAGCGACTAGTGCACTTTATATACAAAATATTTCTATCATTCTAAGTTTTAAGATCCAACAGACATGATTATGAAAAAAAGTCGAGTTGGAAAGCTTTTTCTCAAATGACATTGCATAGTACCGAGTACGGCAAAATATTTTTAGGAAAGTGTACACCGAGAGCGAAACAAGTGATGTAAGTAATTTTAGTAGTAATTTTCTTGGAATAATTGCAGCACGCCCGTGTTACCACGTCTACGAAAATCCAAGTTTCGCATTTATCAAACAAATTCGCATGTCACAATCTGACAACGCCGCACTTCCCACAAAGCTATAGGAATTCAGGTTTTTCGGATCATTTTAGACAAAACAGATCCTCAGTCACTGTCCTCTAAGCTTGGCCGTTTTCGAGTTATAAACAATGTTTGAAAAAGGCAAAAAATGGTAATTTTGAATGCTTAAGAACACAATTAGAATTATTATTTTTGACGTTGCCAAGTGTCTAAATCAAAGTTAAAACCTTCATCTACAAGACCTCGAAGAGTATCTTGGGCTAAGGTTATTTTAAAGTGATTTTTTATCTTGCTTGGTAGACTAAAAATGCCAAACCTTTGATTTTCGTAGACTGTACATACTAGTAATTATAACATCAATATCAAAATTACAATAAGCTCCTAGTCTACTGCATACAACTTTTAAGACGTTACATTTGAGTATTGGATCGTTTTTGAGTAATAATGTTTGAAAAAGCCTAAATATGGTAATTTTCAATGCTTAATAACCCAAAAAGTACTATTTTTGACGTTGCAAACCATCTAAATCAATGTCCAAACCTTCCCCTACAAGACCCCGGCGAGTATTTCGAGCTAAGTTTATTTTAATGTAATTTTTATTTTGTTTGATAGGCTTGAGTGGCGAACCTTGACTATCGCACACAACTTTCAAAACAATATATTTGAATATTGGTAAATACTAGTTTACAAGACACGAATCCTGTGTTTCAGAAATTTTTTAGCTCCCTAAAAATGTTTTGACACTCCAGAACAATGAGACTATAGTGTGTAGACACTGTGGTTAGGTGTTGTCAGGCATGGCTTCGAGAAGGCCGTACGCAAAGAGCAAGGGACACTGGACGCCGCCGTAGAACAACAGACCGTGAAGATCGCCGCTTAAGATTATTGGCCTTAAGGGACCGTTTCTCCACTACCAGGTCCATTGCAAATGAATGGTTTGCAGAACACGGAAGACCTATTGGCATGCGAAGTGTTTACCGACTAATGAGAAGTTTTGGCTTGTTTTCATACCGGCCACACTGGGTCCTCCCTTTAACTCGAGAACACCGACGTAATCACCTTGAGTGGTGCAGACAACGGTCACTCTGGGATCAGGAATGGAACAGTATTGTCTTTAGTGACGAGTCTCGATTTTGTTTAGGCATGCACGATGGTCTTGCCAGGGTTAGAAGGCGACGTGGTGAAAGGAGGAATCCACAGTTTTTTGTTGAAAGACATGTTCATCACACTGTTGGAGTTATGGTTTTGGGGTGCTATAGCTTATGGTTCCAGGTCACCTTTAATCTTCATCAGAGGTAACATGAACGCGCAGCGTTATATCCACGAAGTTCTAGAACCCCATCTTTTACCCTATCTTGACACCCTGGCAGATCCAACTTACCAACAAGATAATGCCCGACCACATGTTCCAAGAGTCACAATAGACTTCTTTCAACATAATGATGTCACATTGTTACCATGGCCACCAAGATCTCCCGACTTATCCCCAATTGAGCACGTGTGGGATATGATGGGTAGGAGATTGCTCAATTTGCAACGTCCTCCTCAGACACTAGAAGCACTTCGAGAGGAGTTGGTGGTTGCCTGGAATGAGATACCACAGGAGGACATTGACCACCTGATCAGAAGCATGCCTAGGCGCGTTGGAGAATGCGTAGCACATGAGGGTGCATCCACACATTATTAAATGTCAAAGGGCTTTAAAGCAGTGCAATCATTTTGAAATTTTTATCATTTACTTATTATGCTTCATTAAGTACTTATACAAAATTTTATTAAAATAAAACCATTTAAACTGGGTGTTCGGATTTATATGTCACTTAGTATAATTATACCACCTTGTAGAACAGCAAAAGTGGAAATGATGTTGTATCCATTTATTTTGTAATCGCGCCTTAAATAAAGACAGGATAAGCTAAAATTGTTTTGGAAAAAAAATGTTTTTTCATCTCCCCGAAAATACTCTGAAATGCGAATCTTTCTAGATGCCAATTTCTTTTTTACTTAAAAGCGCAAACCCCTTATTCAAACGACTTCGTACCTCTTGCCGTTCCTGAGATCCTAATGGTGCGAGTAGAATTTGAAACACCCGGTAGATTATAATGGCGCAGATATACAGAAAAGTATTAAAAATTTGTTATGGTGGTAATATGTATTTTCCACGCTTATACATGGCAAGTGAAACGAATACTACATGTTTGTATATAATTAACATGTTTTCGCATGTTTCAGAAATCACAACTGATAATCAATAATTTTTACAGGAAAAGTTTGACACATCAACGTATTCGAAATATTTTCCTACGTAAAATTTTCTAAAATTTTTGGTTTCAAAGCAAAGAAACGACCAATAATGATAGCAAATCGATGCACTTCAAGTGTTCAAACAATTAAATCATTTAATATCAATGGAATTTTAAGGCGTGATTATTATATTTCTAATGGGGGCAAAAGTCCGCACAGTGGCGGAGGTTTACAAGTACAGAAAAAAAATGACAAATATCAAAATCGAAATATTAACCTTTGTTTTTACATGGCATGTGTATAATAGGTCTGTCCCACGTATATACTTTTGCAATTTTGGATCTAATCATTCTGCAACAGCTTGTTACACCTAGTTTCGGAGGTAGTTTATTATTGAACTCACTACACCACCATTCCAACTGTAGGGGCGTGTTCCGAAACCCAGTTGTCCTGCACATCCCTACACTCTGCATAAATGGCTATTTTTCTTGAATATGGGAAGCTTTTCAGGAATCCAATTATCTTAGGGCGTAAATATTAGATTAATTCTCGCCATTGATAACACCAACTGTTTTGGTCGATTTTTTGGTCATAGGCAAACATGTTTTCTAAAGATTCGTAAATTTGGGAGTCCAGATGTCTGTTCCGAGTACTTCTCAAGCTGAGGACTCTTCTAGTGGTTGGTAAACAAGTTCAATGTCTAAACCATCAGCAGTACCATTGTCACTAGTTTCTGATGTAGATCTGAGATGCGATTTATTATTGGAAAAAACTATCAATACAACAAACCTGATAATAGAAACATGTTTCCGAAGTGGCTGCAAAGTATGAAAGGCCTCCGATACGACAACCAAATTACTGACATGCTGCCTCCTGGTACTGCAGACGACCCTGATTGTCTCCTGATGAAACCCAGACCTCCTGATCCTCACTAAGGTCTTACCTTACTAGATTATATCGGGGTATTAAGAAAACAAACTCTGTTTCAATATGAGTTTTATGTTTCTGATTGTTTTAGGTCATAGGCAAAAGTGTATTTATTCTATGGATTCGTGAATTTGAGAATCTACCAGACTTCTGTTCCGAGCAATTATTAAGCTGAGGACCCTTCTAGGGATTGGTAAACAAGTTTAATATTTGAAACAGGAGCAGTACCAACTTGTCACCAGTTTCTGATGTAGATCTGAGATGTTATTTATTATTGAAAAAACTATCAATACAACAAACCTGATAATAGAAACATGTTTCCTAAGTGGCGGCAAAGTATGACAGGCGTCCGATACGGTAACCAAATGACTGACATGCTGCCTCCTCGTACTGCAGACGACCCTGATCCTCTCCTGGTGGAACCCAGACCTCCTGATCCTCACTAAGGTCTTATCTTGAACGTCCTGAGTGACATACCGATGATGGAACCGATTCAACGAGGGGCTCGATGTGGACGGTAGGTTGTTCCCCCGCATTTCAACACTCACTGCACCACATCACTTTTAGGGGCGTTTTCCGAAACCCAGCTGTTTTTCACATTTCTACACTCGGCATAAATGTCAGCAAACATACCACTGGCACTGGCTCGATGGAAGGCAAGCTAGTAGGCTGACGTCACGAGAGCAGTCCTTGGGTTACATCACGGAATGATTATATAAAATGAGCCAGTGAGCGGCGACTCTGATTCAGACGATGCTGTACCAACGAGTCGCTAGTCGCACACGACTACGGGCAGTACCGCGTACCGTCGAAGTGCTAACGCGACTTCAGCGGGAACATTAGCAAGCGCGGAACGGTGTGGGAGGACACTCGCGATAATATACATTGAAACCAATTATAGCCGCTTTGCGAACTGAAAGAAAATTGCCCCTTCCATCAACTAGTAGAGCGGTCGCTGGAAAAAGTTCTCTATGCAAAATGCATTTTGTCAATAGACAGCTAGGTCAAATAGTGATTGATTTAAAAAAATGGCGTCAAGCAGGATGACTCTGCACCCCCTACGCAATGCATACGTTGATAAATAATTATGTTCGGCACCTTTTATTAGAAAAACTAGTAGTACTTGGGAGGCGAAGCGAGACAAGTATACCACCTTTGATCTTTTTGCCAACCCCGATTATACCAACAATTTATTCCACGTATTAATCCACTAATATTTCGAATCTTCCTGATCTACTAATGAAGGTTAAGATGTCCGACCATTCCGCTGGGTTATCAACTTCCCCATCAAACTCCATGGCTCCAAATATGTCAGCCCTTAGACTGTAAGATACGGGGCAATAGCCCAAAAAGTGGAGCGCTGTCTGGTCCTCCTCCTAGCACATGCGGCAATTTGTATCTCTCCTCACCCTTAAGAGGGATAAATGCAGAGCCGTATGCTTCGCTGTTCGATTTTCGTCCGCCGGCGCGCATGACGTCACGCGGAGAGTGATTATCATTTGGGTTGATATGGAAAACGTGCCTATCATCACTTACAGGCCAAACGGCTGGACGGATTTTCACATATGAGGTGCCGTCAGTTTCGTCTTAGCGGTGCGAGTGACACTAGCTACATTAAAATTTTATACAAAACAAAATGGTGGATTTTAATAAAAGATTTCAACCTTGTAATTCCTACTTCATAGGCTACAGGCTACGGCTTCTAGCTGCACAATAGAGCGTATCGTCTCTTCGCTGTAAAAATAAGATAACTCCATTTTTATACATTACCTATATGTTAGTATGTTCTGTAGAGTAGGATTAACCTGTTCGTGTCATAATTCTGTACTAAATTTATCCTTATTCCACAGAACATCCTAAGTACACGTAAGTGTGAAAATGTACGCAATTCGAAAAGTAGAAAAATGGAGTTATCTTCTTTTTGCAGTAAGGTGGTGGTATAACAATAAATGGAAATGACTTAGACGTAGGTATATCCAGAGATGCGTGTGTTTAAATTATTTTTCTATTATTCTTTCTTTAACGCAAAATATACGGGGATATACAGGGTGTTCCATAATTATTGCGACAAAATGATAGGGGTTGTAGAGGGCATCAAAATATGCAATTTTGCCTTATAAACCCCTGTTCGTAAATATGCCGTTTGAGCACTACCGCTAATTTTACCTTAAGAGAAACAAAAAATTCAACAGCTGCAAAATGTTCGTCTAGCATATTTCATGGTCTCGCCGATTTGTAAAAAAAAGCCTGCTGTGTTTACATTTTTGTTATCGTAAATTCTCCACACCGATTCATTTAATTTATCTGAGTGGTGCGTCAAACTAGAGGCCAATCCGCGTACAAGCGTGCGTGCTATTGCACATGAAATGGGAGCATCTCAAACTACTGCTTGGCGGGTTCTCCATGACCAGCAACTACACCCATACCACCTTTTAAAAGTCCAAGCCATGGGTCCAGAAAACTATCTGCCGCGTCGACGTTTTTGTCGTTGGTGGCTGCAGCAGGAGTTGAAGCAACCAAACTTTGGTCGCTACGTTTTGTTCACTGACGAGTCCTGTTTCACAAAGGACGGTTATTTTAATAGCCGTAACAGTCACATTTGGGATGAAAAAAACCCTCATGCCATAGCCATCCATAGAGACCAACATAGTTTTCAATTAACATCTGGTGCGGCATTGTGGACGAGCATATCATCGGGCCATATTTGCTTCCACCACGTTTGGATGGGCATGCTTATGGTCGATTCTTACAGCATGTGCTACCGGAACTATTAGAAAATGTGCCACTGAACATAAGAGCCAACACGTGGTTTCAACACGATGGCGCTCCAGCCCACTTTTCTTTACAAGTGCGGCAGTATTTGGACGACAAATAGGTGGATAGGCCGAGGTGGCCCTGTGCCTTGGCCTGCGCGGTCACCCGACCTGAACCCACTGGATTATTTTCTCTGGGGCCATCTGAAAGCTTTAGTGTACGAAACTACTGTTCCCAACCAACAAGAGCTACTGGGAAGAGTGATGGCCGCGTCCGCACATGTTCAGGACATACCGGGGGTATGCCACAGAGTTCGCCGATCATTGAACAATCGTGCACAGCTGTGTATTGAGCAAGGTGGAGGACACTTTGAACAATTACTGTAGGTAAGCTGTTTCAAGAAACTGATCTTTTTTTTTTTGCTGCATCCCAAACGGCATATTTCCGAACAGGGGTTTATAAAGCAAAATTGTTCATTTTGATGCCCTCTACAACCCCTATCATTTTGTCGCAATAATCATGGAACACCCTGTATATGATGTGTGAAATAAGAGGCATACTATCAAACACCAGTACCAGAGAAGGTGTGAGATACATATACATGCCAAAAACTACAGGCATAAGGACAGCTCGAAAACTGAAGACGTAGCTGGACCTGGGATTTATGGGACAAGACCAAGATCCAATACCTCTAAAGTCTAGGTAATAAGTAACTCAGCAAGAATATTTCAGGCTGAACTAACACACAAGTCTGCGTAAAAGATTTAATGAGGAATCGGAATGTAAATCAGTTAATCGCCATCTGCTCAGGCAGCCAGAAAGGCATTAAGTTCATTGCAAGCATCGTCTGAACTAGTAAGGGAATGCGTAAACACTCTAATGAGCTGGGAAATCCAAACAAGGTAACATTGCTCTGGGTACAAAGCCCAGAAAGGAAATGAGAGGGCGGATAAACTAACCAGACAGAGTGCGGCCAATTCCCTTAATGTCCAGACCCTTTCTGAGCCGAACGAGAACTCCATCAAAAAGTCCATAAGAAATTTGGCCAAGAATAAGTGTCTAAAATGGTGTAACATCCAATAAGGGCAAAGTCAAGATCAATAAATGAAGGCATAGTGCATCTTCGGATAGGATATTGCTGTCTAAATCTACATAATATGAGGCTCTAGGATTTGCAAGATGTCGCATGCCGTTTCTGCAAAGAGCAACCCCAGTGCATCGCTTGTGCCACTCCAGAGGCCTAACAAGGCTACGGTTTCGGGAAGTAGGAATCACAAATCCAACAGCGGAAAGCAACATGCAAAGCCCTGTGTCAAGGCTATGGAATCTGATCAAATGATCAAGGCTGGACACACTGCTTTAAAAAGTGTCAAAATGGATATACAAAAGAAAACGGGGACAAGTCACGGCCATCCTTTGTTCATTACCGGCAGTTATCTGCCAAACCTTGGTACCGAAAAGGAAGTCACATCGTGCGCTACTGCAGGCGCGGTGTGTCTACTCGAGTATATTACGGGGACATTAAACGATTATGAGATTATTAGTCAAATATTTAGAAGCAACGTTTTCATTCCTGCCGAGTTGAATGGGCCCTTTTCTTTGCCCTGAAGGATGGGAGTGAGCCCTTTGCTCGAGTTCACGAAAGAACCAACTACCTTGAATCCACAGTCGGAATGCACTTACCCCCACGATACCCTTTTATTTATTTTTCATCTATTCGATGTGCACCCTTTCTCTAGCTAAAGTTTTTTGCCAAACATGAAACAATGCAATATACCTGCTACCCCTTTTTATACTTCCCAATTGGCGAAGAAGTACAGACCTCAATTCAACAAATTTTACATGAAGAATTAGGAGTAAGAAAATTAGTGTCTCGTTGGATACCCCACCTGTTGACTGAAGAGCACAAAGCAGCCAGGGTTAATTGGTGTCAAAAAACGCTTGACCGTTTCAATATCGGAAACTCAAAAAATGTGTACAGCATTGTTAGTGGTGACGAATTGTGGATTTACTGTTATAAACCAGAAAATAAACCACCGTCGGTTGTTTGGGTGTTCCAAGGTGAAGAAAAGCCAACAAAAGTCATCCGTTCTTGAAGTGTTTCGAAAAAGATGGTCGCGACATTTGTGTCAAAAGCGGGTCATATTGCAACAATTCCTCTTAATGAGCAAATAACTGTTACTGCGGATTGGTATACCACCATTTGTTTGCCAAAAGTTATCACCGAGCTTCGAAAAATCAACCCCGAAAGAAGAATCATCCTCCACCAAGGCAATGCAAGCTCGCACACAGCCCAAAAAACAAGGCAGTATTTAACGGAAGAAAACGTGGAATTATTGGACCATCCTCCATATAGTTCCTAACGATTTCTTTAGTTTCCCGAAAATTAAAAACAGACTGCGTGGTCAAAGGTTCCAGTCACCAGAAGAAGCAGTTGACGCATTCAAAAATGCCGTTTTGGATCTCCCAGCAAACGAATAGAATAAGTGCTTCGAAAATTGGTTCGAGCGCATGATGGTGTGTATTAATCTTCGTGGAGAATACTTCGAAAAACAATAAAGTCATTTAAAACTACCTACCGTGTTGCTTTATTTCCATATGCAAAACTTAAAAGACATCCCTCGTACCACTCGACGACTCAAATGACAGACAGATTTGATCGGTAGATTGGGGATTTTAGCACCGTCATTTTACCATGGACACTCTGATCATCAGATTTCTCATTTAAATATTGAATACTGTAAGCATTATGCATATTCGAGTCTTTTGTTTTACGGAATCTCGATTTCTTGTTCATGTCCCATTTTTATGTTGATGATAACGATAAAAAGCGTTTTCAACATCAACTGTTTCATATTACCAATGATAAAAAATAGATGGTATGACCATTACTTTTTACTTCCCACGACTACTCGCATTGTAATCGTGAAAAATTCCGAAAATGAGATATTATATTTTATAGATGTACAACACGAAAAACCATGTCACCCATTTTCCTGGGTCTGTCGATCCTTGGCCAGTTTGTAACTTAGAAAGCACTGCTCGGATTTTGACTTCTGTGCCAAGGATAAAAAAACTGTGAGTATGTATGTAAAAATAAAAATCGTGCAAACCTCGGTTTTTGATGTTTCACACTCATTTTTGGAAACTTTTTGATGCACATCTTTACTTCTGCTCTCTCTGGGTTCACCAGCGGGCGACCCCATCTTAATGAGTGTCCGGCGATTACTGCCGCGCTGCCGGGTCTGACGCGTCGTGCGCTCAGGTGCGACGTCGCCAGATGGACGTTTATGGTCTAACTTAATTTCTCTGTTATACATGCTCTTAGTGAACTTTTGTGTGCTAAAAATTATCCTTTATGAACTGAACGTCTAAGGTGGCGCCACTAATGAGGTAACCAAATCTCTCAATTCACATTTAAAGAGATGACGGCGTTGCCTGGGAAGTGCAGAGTCAGCCAACTTGACGGCATTTTTTTTCTAAGTGAGGTTAACTTTACCAATCATAATCTTTAAACATGTTGACGGCATGGCATGGGAGGTACAGAATCAACCTGTTTGACACCATTTTCAAGCTATAAAATTGTATTTTTGGACATGAGCTACTTTTGTATCTAAGCGACGTTTTATTTTCTGTGTACTCAAACGTAACCAAAAATGTCAGTTTACTTTCCGTAATGCGCCTATTGAAAAACAGTACAGTGAAAGTGAAATTGTCCGATCGGAACAGCATTATTTCATTTAACATTATTCATGAATAGAAAGGCGTTATTCTAACCACATGTACAGGATAAGAACTTTTTCTAATTCGAATAGAGCATCAGGAGTTTCGGACACACCTTGTTTGGAAGGGGAAGACTTGATAGGTGATAGATCAACATAATGTTAATACACTTTATTGGGTTGGTGCTCCCTTTTATTTCCACATAATTATATTAATTCGCAATCAGTCAAAAATACTGGCATTAGGTCTGAGGTCCACGCCTCGGAAATAATGGGATCAACTTAGACTGGCTCTGTACTCGGGCACGTCTAAAATATACTAAGTGACATATAAATCCGAACACCCAGTTTAAATGGTTTTATTTTAATAAAAGTTGGTGAATGTATTTATCTTACTGTAAATAACAAGTGAAAAAATTTTCAGCCTTATCGGTTGGACATTCCGGTTTTTATACTGCTTTTTTTTAATTCACTAACGCTCTAAAAATGAATATTTCAGCCGCAGTAAAGAATCAACGTTGGCGGATTTTGGTTCTTGACATCCTTTACGATCGGTTACGATGCCTAGAGTACGGAGACCTGTACGATTTCGTCAACTTAGTGAGTTTGATAGGGGCCGTATAGTGGGACTTCGGGAAGCTGGAGTTTCTTTTCGGGCAATTGCAGTTAGAGTGCAAAGAAGTGTAGACACTGTGGTTAGGTGTTGTCAGGCATGGCTTCGAGAAGGCCGTACGCAAAGAGCAAGGGGCACTGGACGCCGCCGTAGAACAACAGACCGTGAAGATCGCCGCCTAATATTATTGGCCTTAAGGGACCGTTTCTCCACTACCAGGTCCATTGCAAATGAATGGTTTGCAGAACACGGAAGACCTATTGGCATGCGAAGTGTTTACCGACGAATGAGAAGTTTTGGCTTGTTTTCATAGCGGCCACACTGGGTCCTCCCTTTAACTCGAGAACACCGACGTAATCACCTTGAGTGGTGCAGACAACGGTCATTCTGGGATCAGGAATGGAACAGTATTGTCTTTAGTGACGAGCCTCGGTTTTGTTTAGGCATGCACGATGGACGTGCCAGGGTTAGAAGGCGACGTGGTGAAAGGAGGAATCCACAGTTTTTTGTTGAAAGACATGTTCATCACACTGTTGGAGTTATGGTTTGGGGTGCTATAGCTTATGGTTCCAGGTCACCTTTAATCTTCATCAGAGGTAACATGAACGCGCAGCGTTATATCCACGAAGTTCTAGAACCCCATCTTTTACCCTATCTTGACACCCTGGCAGATCCAACTTTCCAACAAGATAATGCCCGACCACATGTTGCAAGAGTCACAATAGACTTCTTTCAACATAATGATGTCACATTGTTACCATGGCCACCAAGATCTCCCGACTTATCCCCAATTGAGCACGTGTGGGATATGATGGGTAGGAGATTGCTCAATTTGCAATGTCCTCCTCAGACTCTAGAAGCTCTTCGAGAGGAGTTGGTGGTTGCCTGGAATGAGATACCACAGGAGGACATTGACCACCTGATCAGAAGCATGCCTAGGCGCGTTGGAGAATGCGTAGCACATCAGGGTGCATCCACACATTATTAAAGGTCAAAGAGCTTTAAAGCAGTGCAATCATTTTGAAATTTTTATCATTTACTTATTATGCTTCATTAAGTACTTATACAAAATTTTATTAAAATAAAACCATTTAAACTGGGTGTTCGGATTTATATGTCACTTAGTATAGAAAGGTTTCTTATTGTTACAATACCTATACGCTCTGTAAATTCCCAACTGTAAGGACACATCAAATGGCGGTGGAGCTGAATATTTATGGTAATTAAAAATGTTCGATATTCAAACTATTCCTGGAAATACACGAAAAAAAACAGAATTTTCCTAGAATCGTTTTCAATCATCCCCCGTGAGATGGAGTTTAAAAATAAACTGCACACTAGCATTGTCATTTTTTACCATCAATAATTCCCATTTATGAGTTTCGCGAACAACTTATTCGTAAAAACTGTAAGTTATCCCGTAGCTGATTAGCTTTTAGACCTCCATGAGGGAGATTTAATTAAGGATAAAAAGAGAACTGGCAGTTCAAAATTAATTTTTTTCCAACGCCAAACATTACATCATCTGCGAACTCTGCCTCATTCCTTTAGGATTATTTTTCAAGGACATACTTCCATTGGAGTTTATATGTTTAGTCTAGCTATACGTCAATCTCAAGCACAATCGAAAATGATTTATTATATGTTTGGGGTACGTATACCTGCGAATTCAGTTACCGCAGATTTTTTATGTCAAGCAAATTCGTAAATCATTTGGGACCCCACATAAAAATATAGTGACATTTATTAACAATAAAATGGTAGATTACGTTTGGCTTTATAAGACCCATTTTACAACAGGGAAAGCAAAAAAATGTGTTCCTCCCACATAAGATGGACGGGGCTGCGAACAGAGGAATCTATTTTTTGGTCCAAATTATATATACGTATACAGGGTGTTTCAAATTCGACACTCGCCATTGAGATTTGGGAAAATGTAAGAGATACGAGTCGCTTAAATGGGGGCAAAAGTTGTTACGTATTCAACAAAATGCCGCTAAGAATGTTTAAATCCAAAGTACCTCCGGAGAGAGACGGAAAAAACCTAAAAATTAAAATTCCAAAATAGCGTCTACGAGCCCCTTCCCACTTCAGTTGGCCCACTTCAAGATTTGTACCAAAATATGCCTTTATAAACTAAACATGACGAAACTATTTACTTCTAAAACAATTTATTTTCTCAAAAACATTTTAGATACACCCTAGTCGTAAAAAATACATATTTGAAATCACTTAGACCTATAACTGATAGAACATCTGAACAAATAAACAATGTGCGAATAAATGCGCGATGTTAAAAAAGCAACAATTGAAAGATTACCATTGGGTAACATCACCTTTATTTTTTATTACGGCTGAAATTCTTTGGGGCATAGTGTTAACCAAGTTTTGGCAAAAATTTGGTGTAAAACAATCTCATATTTCTTGAAGCTTTTGTCTCAGTTCGGTGATTGTACGAGCAGGATGTTGTCGTAGAACCTTTTTCATCTCGTGCCACAAAGTTTCAATAGGTGACAGATCTGGACTGCTAGAAACCCATTTCAAAAGTGGTACATTATTTTCTTCCATCCATTTTATAGCCTTTTTTGAGGTATGGCAAGCTGGACCATCTTGCTGAAACACAAAATCTTGGCCGGATGTCAAACATTCTTCCATCACTGGTAAAAGCGATTCTTCTAAAACTGCCAAATATTTGTTTGTATCCACATTTCCATCAATAAAATGCAGTTTTCCTACTCCTTTTGACGACATACTGCCCCAAACCATAATGGATGCTGGAAATTTCACTTTTCTCTTCAGACAGTCAACATGGAATGTTTCATTTTTTTGCGAATAACTCTACTGCGACTGTCACCAACACAAACTTCGAATCGGACCTCATCACTCCATTGTATTGCACACCATTGTTGAGGTGTCTATTGTCTATGTTCTTTAGCCCATCTAAGCCGACTTTTATTTTGCAGTGGAGTTAATAGTGGATTTTCTTTGGCCTATAAACAACTTGTGCAACTTTAGGGTTTTTAATTCACTTTTTTTATAAGAAAACTTACCTTGCAAGTGCTAAATCCCAGTTTGTGGGCGTCTCTATGCGTTTTGGACCTCGAAATTCTCCTTCCAACAGCGTCACTCCACAGAGCACTTAATTGTAAATAATTGGCACGCTTGTGTTTCACGATTATTCTTCTTAATGCTCTTCGGTCGGCATTTGTGATATTACTTTTTTTTCACATATCGTGGCTTAATATTAACTGAGAAAGTTACGTTATATCTCAATATTTCTCACACTGTACCGCGATAAGTCTAACAAAGTTGCAATTTCCGAGTTTGATTTCCCAGAATTAAAAAATTTAATTATCAGTAACCGAATTTTCTCACTAATAACCTTTCCTCTACCCATTTTGAAAATCTTAACTACCCAAAACTATTTTAAACGTATTCTGACAGCTGTGATTAATAAAAACAATTGTCCAATGACCAATTTTTAACCCTTGCAAATTTCTGAATGAAAGATCAGAATCATCTGAAACGTCAAAAATGAAGATTGAGCGATTTTTTTTTTCGTTTGGGCCTTTTTCTCCACCGCCACTAGTGCGATTTTCAAGAACTACAAATCTTTTTTATCAGTGTAGTAGGCGTGAAAAGTACAGGGAATTCCACAGCTTCAGTCAGGATGTGCGTCCACCGTATTCTCCAGACCTACAGCCTATTTCGTATGTCGCAAAATGGCTTGATAGCTGAACAATCGAGGGTTTTGAAAGCTTTCTGAACAAAAATCTACGGAGTTCTAAGCAAGTGGCATAATACAATACCAAAACGTTGGGGAGACGTTACAGATCTAGATGGCCAGTATATTATTCCCAAGTACAACTACTATAAAAAACGTAAGGTGGTATTAATATTTGGAGCGCAGTTTATGACGCTTCAGAACTTTGAACCCTTGTACCGAATCAATAAACAGATACCAGGTCATCATGTAAAGTGGTTTGGATGTTACCCCTATAAGGACAGTGCGGTGAGTCATATGTGGCTATGAATCATGACCTTCAAAACAATAGGGGCTATTTTGGGGTGAGTCTGATGAATGCAGCGAATTTGAACAGGTAAGAGACATAAAGTTGCTTAAACGGAGGCGAAGTTTCACATTTGGGTAACTAAGAAAATTACACAAAGTTTCGCAATTCCGAGTAGTTGCTGAATTTTCTCAAAATTTTATTTTTTCCTGGCTTTATTTGAGAGGATTACAAAATAAAAAGCACATTTATTTTTTCTTATAGGAGTCATATTGGATTTTTCCACAGGTGAATTAAGTGTTTATATCTGATTTCAAAAATATACTAAGTGACATATAAATCCGAACACCCAGTTTAAATGGTTTTATTTTAATAAAAGTTGGTGAATGTATTTATCTTACTGTAAATAACAAGTGAAAAAATTTTCAGCCTTATCAGTTGGACATTCCGGTTTTTATACTGCTTTTTTTTAATTCACTAACGCTCTAAAAATGAATATTTCAGCCGCAGTAAAGAATCAACGTTGGCGGATTTTGGTTCTTGACATCCTTTACGATCGGTCACGATGCCTAGAGTACGGAGACCTGTACGATTTCGTCAACTTAGTGAGTTTGATAGGGGTCGTATAGTGGGACTTCGGGAAGCTGGACTTTCTTTTCGGGCAATTGCAGTTAGAGTGCAAAGAAGTGTAGACACTGTGGTTAGGTGTTGTCAGGCATGGCTTCGAGAAGGCGGTACGCAAAGAGCAAGGGGCACTGGACGCCGCCGTAGAACAACAGACCGTGAAGATCGCCGCCTAAGATTATTGGCCTTAAGGGACCGTTTCTCCACTACCAGGTCCATTGCAAATGAATGGCTTGCAGAACACGGAAGACCTATTGGCATGCGAAGTGTTTACCGACGAATGATAAGTTTTGGCTTGTTTTCATACCGGCCACACTGGGTCCTCCCTTTAACTCGAGAACACCGACGTAATCGCCTTGAGTGGTGCAGACAACGGTCACTCTGGGATCAGGAATGGAACAGTATTGCCTTTAGTGACAAGTCTGGATTTTGTTTAGGCATGCACGATGGTGGTGCCAGGGTTAGAAGGCGACATGTTCATCACACTGTTGGAGTTATGGTTTGGGGTGCTATAGCTTATGGTTCCAGGTCACCTTTAATCTTCATCAGAGGTAACATGAACACGCAGCGTTATATCTACGAAGTTCTAGAACCCCATCTTTCTTGACACCCTGGCAGATCCAACTTTCCAACAAGATAATGCCCGACCACATGTTGCAAGAGTCACAATAGACTTCTTTCAACATAATGATGTCACATTGTTACCATGGCCACCAAGATCTCCCGACTTATCCCCAATTGAGCACGTGTGGGATATGATGGGTAGGAGATTGCCCAATTTGCAACGTCTTCCTTAGACTCTAGAAGCACTTCGAGAGGAGTTGGTGGTTGCCTGGAATGAGATACCACAGGAGGACATTGACCACCTGATCAGAAGCATGCCTAGGCGCGTTGGAGAATGCGTAGCACATCAGGGTGCATCCACACATTATTAAAGGTCAAAGGGCTTTAAAGCAGTGCAATCATTTTGAAATTTTTATCATTTACTTATTATGCTTCATTAAGTACTTATACAAAATTTTATTAAAATAAAACCATTTAAACTGGGTGTTCGGATTTATATGTCACTTAGTATATATAACATATCATATATTGTCGCTGACAAACCTCAATTACCTGAAAAACAGTATTTCCTAATGACTCTTTGAAATTACCAGATAGTAATTTGTTTCTGCCCAGCATTTCAGGGCATTCAGATGTCTGAAAAAGTGATCTCTCGATAGTTTGTCTTAGCTCACCGAATAAAGAACAAAATAAAGTTAAAGTGCATCTCATTTTCAAGGCCATCTATTTTTTTTAAACAACTTTGCTTTGACAAAGTCAATGTATGACATTTTTGGAATTAAAAACTCCA